TGACCCCGCCCCTTCCCTCCTAGATTTGGGAGCCCAAGCAAGTCTGTTGGAACCTGGGCCCAGTTTCCCGGGCCTGAGTTTCCTCCTCTGTAAAATGAGGGTCTTTGGGGTGACCTCAGTCACTGACCCTCCCTTCCCTTGACACACCCCCTCCCCAACACTGCCTTTAGAATGGGGAGAAGGTGCCCTGGGAGCCCTCTTCCCTTCCTGCCCTCCCCTCCCCCAGACAGCTGGGCAAGTCATTTAACCCCACTTATTCTCAGTGGTCTGGTTTGTTGGACTAGTTGGCCTTAGTCTGGTTGGACTAGGTGGCCCTAGATCTACGGTGCCAGGATTCTCTGGCCTGACCTTTTCTCTCGCTAGAGTTATACCCGGACTCCGGGCGGAACCTTCCAAACTGACCCTCTTTCTTCTAGGTCCGGGGTGTGTAGTTTTGTGTGTGTTCTACCAACTAACATTTCCTTAGGATCTCCTTCCTAATGTGACAATCTGACCACGCTTTGGCCTCTGGTTCTAACTCTGCCTGGGACCCTTTAGGCTCTTGAAAATGGGCTGGAGGGGGTAGCTAGGTGGCACAGTGGATAGAGCTCCAGCCTTGGAGTCAGAGGGACCTGAGTTCAAATGTGATCTCAGACACTTTACACTTAGTAGCTGTGTGACCCTGGGCAAGTCACTTAACCCCAATTGCCTCATCCAAAAAAGATAAATTTAAAAAAAAAAAGAAAAGAAAATGGGCTGGGCCACCCCTCCCCCCTTTACTTCTGAGCTATCAGATAGTTATGCAGAGTTAGAGCCAGAGGGCACCTTTGGTGGTCTTGGAAGGTCTGTGGAGCCTCTCCCAGAATGATATGTTCAAATAATCAAAAAGTTTTTTGAAAGTTCACAGATTTCCTCCCTTCCCCCAAGAACTCCTGCTCTGGTCCAACCCCCTCATTTTACAGGGGAGGAGATGACCATGGGAGGTGAAATAACTCAGTCATACTGCAGGTCTCCTGGTCCTGTGGGTTTCTTACTTTTGGTATTGTTAAGTTATTTTAGTTGAGTCCTACTCTTGGTGATCCCATTTGGGGTTTTCTTGACAAAGATATTATAGTAGTTTGCCATTTCCTTCTCCAGCTCATTTTACAGATGAGGAAACTGAGGCAGACAGGATTAAGTGAGTTGCCCAGGGTCACAAAGCTGGGAGGTATCTGAGGCCGGATTGTAATTCATGGGAGAGTCTTCCTGACTCCAGATCTGTCACTCTATCCACTGCGCCACCTATTTGCCCTCCTATTTTTGTTAGTCCAGTTCTCACCCTCATGGACCTAGACCTTGATGGCGTTCTTCAGTCTCTAGAGCTAAAGAGACTGGCATGAGCAGCCATGGGCTTGTTCTCAACCAAGATGGAAGAGCAAGGCGGGTAGAAGGGGGAGAGGAGCCTTGGAAGCCTGAAGGACGTAGCTTTAGGACGTGCAGAAAGAGGATACAGAAAGTCCTTGAGAACACTTCTTTTTATTATATAGTTCAGATCTTGCCCTTGAAACCCAGCTTCTCAAATCAGAAAGAATTGAGGATGGGACTCAGCCTGTGGCACGTTTTTGGTCCTGTGTTAGGAACAAGGTATTTTACCAGATGGCTTGAAACAATTCAAGCTGGTGTAGATAAATTCTTGGATAAAGAGTAATAAGGGGAATTACTAACAGCAGTTGGAACAGGTACTTGGCATGGAGGATATCCTAATAACATTGTGGGGGATGCCCATCCTGCTGTCTTCTGGATGCCAGGAGAGCTGGGGGTATCAAGGTCATCCTGGGACTAGCCAGCCCGGCATTCTGTCTGAGGGATGGCAGCATTGGATGGTTTGGAAGGCAGATCAGCAGCTTGTCCCCTGAGAAACTGACCTCCAGAAATTAAGGGTCAACCCTGAACAGGGCTAGCTCAAGTCACCATGACCCTGTTGGCAGGGGAGCACTAAACCTTAATTTGGGAGACTGAGACTCCAACACCTTCTCCTCTGTCTCTGACACGTCTTATATGTGGTAGGTGTTTGAGAGTTAGCTGTTTATTTCTTCTGGAGAGCCATCAAGGGCTGTGTTCTGTCCGTGTCATCAAAGAACAGGCATCATCCTGTCCAGGCCTCATTTTCCCTCTTCTGAAATGGGCAAGATGGGTCCAGGCCTTTCTTCACAGTTTAGAAAGTGTTACCTTTCTGAACTTTGTCAAAGCTTGGACCAAGGCTCCACTTCTGGCCATGTGGAGAAAATGAAGAAATGTGGTCTAGGTGACAGGGCAAGGACTGAATTCTGTGCAGGTTAAATGACTGGACCCAAAGAGGCCTGGCTCATTAATGGTTTGTTGACAGCTTGGAGGGAGGTCTCTAATGGAGTGCCACAGGGATCCAGCCTTGGCTTCGGGCTCTTTAATGTCATTATTAGTGCTTTGGATGGAAACCAAGATAGTGTGCTTGCTGAATTACAGATGACCAGTCTGGCAGGGATAGCTAATGCAGAGGTAGATAGGTGTGCAGAGTCAGCATTGAAAGAGAGCTTCAGTCTGAAGGAAGGGCCATTGCTGATGAGGTGACATTGAATAGGCAGCCTCTCTAAAGAATTAAATCACAGAGGGTCACCCAAAGGGCAACAGAGAGGTGCATGGTGGGATAGAGCAGTCTAGAGCCGAGGACAAATGCAGTGTTTCAGAGGAAGTAGTGAGAGTGAGGGGTAATTAGAGGCCCCATGGCGAGGCAGTGTCAAGGGGTCTAGAGGAAGGGCTCCCCAGGAGAGGAGCGATTATGAGGGGCACAGAAAAGAGGCACCCAAGATGACCAAACTTGTTTGGGTTGGGTGCTGCATCACTGCAGGGGAAGTCACATCACTATCACAGTAAGCAGAGACTCTGACCCTGGTAAAAAGTGCCATCTTTAAGTATAAGCTAGAGAAAGGAAGGAGAGGCAGTAGGGATTCAATGAAAAAGGTTGGCAGTTTTAGTGGTAAACTCAAAATGAGTCAATTGGAGAGCAGGTGAGGTTGTAATCCCACAGAGATAAGAGAGAGTCCTGACCTCAGCTGATGGGCCATTGTTGGAGGATTGTGTTCAGTTCCAGCCCCCACACTTGAAGAAGAGCATTTGCAATCTGGGCTGGGACCAGAGGAGGCTGGCCAGGATCCAGAGAGGCCTGGAAACCATGCCTTATGAGCATTGGCTGAAGAATGTTTAGTTTAAAGAAGAAAAGGCCTAGGGTTGAGGGTTGGGGGTATGGGGGAAGACAAGAGTGATATCTCCAGTCTTTGTCATGTGGAAGAAGAGCTATTTGTTATTTGTTATCCTTGATCTCAGACCCTAGAACTAGAAGTAGTGAATAGAACTGGGAGAAGTGGTTCCAGTTCAATTCAAGGAAAACTTCCCTGACAAACAGAGAGCCTGCCTCAGAGCTGGGGGCTACCCCTGGACCGGAGACCTTTAAGCTATCTGGAGGAATCCTTGTTAGAAAAGTCACTGAGAAAATTTCTGGATGAGGATCCATGCCCTGTGAGCTTCCTGCCTGCTTTGAGGTCCTATGAGTTTTAGCAAGGGTTCTGGAGGGAGTGGCTGGCTGTGCTCCCTGCTTGTGGGGCTCCCTGTTTTTTCCTTTGTGCCTAATACCCATCCCAGTTAACCAGCCTGTCTAGGATCAGTCTGCCTAAACTTACTTAACAGGTGCTTGGCCCCTGTGCTGCTCACCCCATTCTTTGGATTTCAGGAGTGATTTGGGATCCTGTTTCCTATATTCATCCCTAACCAGAGGCCAGGTGCCTATGGCTACTGAGGTTTTGCTGGTTCCTGAGAGCAAGTAGGCCTGAGTGCCCTAGGCTGGGCTCAGTGGACTCTGGGGGAAGTCCATGGTTTATACTTTGCCAGCAGGTCTTTGGGAGGTCTCTGATTTTTGTTTTCTCCTTGGGATCAGGTAACACTGGAGAAAGTACTGGGCATTACAGCCCAAAACAGCAGTGGCTTAACATGTGATCCAAACACAGGCTACATTGCTTACCTGGCTGGGTGAGTAGTATGGCTGGCACTTTTCCAAGCTAGGTGGTAGTATACTTGGGTTCTCCCTTCAGTTGTTCATGGCATGCTTTGTGGACTCCAGGCCTCCCTTCTTATTGTTCAAAGGAGATCCTGCAACCTAGACTTTACCTTCATCTCTGAGCTTGAGAAGGACTGGATTTCAACGAGAAAAGCTCTCAGTGTCTCAATATCCAATTGTAGAGTTCAGGGGGGAAATGAGCCCAAGTTCTCCAAAGTCTTTTTCAAGAAGACATCCAAATGGGATATTCTCAGCTTAGGAGTTTTGTGTA